TTATATATATATATAAATTGACGATATGAAAATTGAAATATTTTTCATGAAAAATCAAATTGAGAACTATATATTTTTGCTTTATGTGAAAATGCGAAATGAATGCGTTTATATATATATATATACAACACTTTATTGAGGAGGTGAAATTTCAAACGTGAACTACTTTAGGATGGTGGGAGAGGGTGGTTGCACGTAGCATTCTCGAATTGGGAAGTGAAGCTTTATTTCAGAGCTGAGCTAAACTGGAAGTACACTATATAAAATTAATGCTGTTTGTAATTTTCGTACGCCACACTGGATGATGATAAATTTAAAGCTTGAAAAGAGAATATGTTAAAAAAAAAAAAAAGTTGAACGACCTCATACCATTTTTTCTATAACAGGCATCATGAAATATTTATTTCAAAACTTATACTTTGTTTAGTTAAATTATTTTTTTTTTTTTAAATTATTTTCACACACACACAAATAATATAATAATTCACAGTTATTAAATATACGAAATAATAATTTTTACATCCCAGGTAAAAAAAATTAACGTTACTAACGTTACTAACGTTACTAATGTTACTAACATTACTAATGTTACTAAAGTTAGTACCTATAAAAAAATTAAGAGTTTCTAAAATATATTTTCACAGAAACTTTGACACTACTTTCCCATTACCACTTTCACTTCCACTTTTTATAATTTTCATTCCCATTTCCACTTATACTTTTTCTAATTCTCATTCGCACTTCCATTCTCACTTCTACTCTTTCTAATTCACATTCCCACTTCACTTCCACATTTTCTAATTTTTATTCCCATTCCTATTTCCACTTCCAGTTTTTTATATTCATTGCCACTACCACTTTTTCTAATTCTCATTCCCACTTTCACATTTAACATTCACATTTCACTTTCACTTTCCGACAATGGAAGTGCGAATGAGAATTAGAAAAAGTGGAAGTGGAAGTGGTAATGTAAATAAAAAAGTGAAAATGAAAATGGGCATGAAAATGATAAAAAGTGGAAGTGAAAATAGGAATGAGAATTAGAAAAAGTGAAAGTGGAAACGGTAATGAAAATAAAAAAGTGGAAGTGATAATAGGAATGAAAATTACAAAAAGTGCGGGTAAGAACATTAAATACTTCCTGGTGGTCGATTTTCGACAAGTTTCTGCAAAAATACAATTTAGAAATATTTTCTTAATTTTTTTATAGGTACTAACGTTAGTAACATTAGTAACGTTAGTAATATTAGTAACGTTAGTAATATTAGTAACGTTAGTAATGTTAATTTTTCTACCTGGGATAATATAGAATTTTTACAATTATATAATATATTGAATCGATAATAATTATAAAATTTGTAATAAGGGAAAAATAATAATAATAATAATTGTAAGATAGTAATAGAAATAAATTAGAATTGATTGAAACAATGTGAAAATGAATCCGGACAATAAAGTGAAAACTATTTTTGTTGGAGAAAAAAAAAAAATTTATAAAAGCGTCTTTAGTGTTGGATGTGGAAAAAGGTAGTTCAGTGGAATCCTCGATAGAATTGGAATTCTGTTTGAGTAGGTCTTTGGAATCTTTTCTCCGAGTGCAGTAGGTTACTTGAAAATGTATTCGTTTCTCTCCCATAAGTTTCGCATCACGTTTTATAGCAGTGGAATACTATTTTCATGAATTTCCGTGAGAATTCGCATTCACTATTTCGTAGCTTAAACGCGTGTGTGACCGTCCAATGAACTCTATAGTAGAATTACTGTCGTGTGGTCAGACATGAAGTTAAAAGAAAGCTCAGAATTTGAAATTTTCCTCTCAGGCATTTTTTTTTTTATTTTTATTTTTATTAGTAATAAAAATAATTTTTGTCAAATTGAATTTAATTCATATAAATTTAGTACGAGTAGTAAAAGTCGTGTTTTAGTTAGACTTATTGTTAGACAAATTTTTTTGTGAATTTTTTATATATCAAGTAGTAAAAGTCAATTTAAGTCAGACAATTGTTAAAATTGTTTTCTTAACAATTAAATTTTATTTTAATCAAAAAAATCTTTTTTTTAGTTTAGTATAAAAATTGTTTGCAGTCAAATGATAATTTTTTTTTAATACTAATTTTGTTTTTCAGTAAAAGACATTTTTATAGTGAAACAGAATGTTCAAACATTTGAAATTATCTATTTATTTAATAAATAATAGGAGATTAATTTTGATTGGGAGGGGATTTTCAAAATTATGTATTATCGTCCTTTCGTATATTGACGTAACGATATTAATTTCATTGGATTATAATAATAAATATCATCGATATTCGACAGAAATTCACCAATATATTATCGAAAGTGAAATATCGAGAAAATACATATTTGCGGTTTTTGTTAAAAAATTGTATTGATTTCAATTGAATATTATTATTATTATTATTACTATTGTAAAGCATATTTCAGTTTCACGTTGTTGTCATCATATTGGTTTTATTATTCTCCACTTTTATATCTTCTTTTTTTTAAGTCTCTACATTTTCTTCAGTCTGTTTCTTGTTTCTTCGATAAAAATAGGATGCATTTCTTTTTCTTATGGCAAAACTTTTTTTTTTTTGACCTTTCTCCTTGAAAGCCAATTTCATAGCATTTATTTATGGCGCATAAAAGGAAATTTCAAGTTGACATACTGTATAAGAGTTCTTCTATTCATATACACCAATAAGAGAAAATTATCCACATGCTCTTTAAATGTCAATTAGATTATTGACTTTTCACTTTGAAATTATTCAATAATAATATATCATTTTATAATTGACATTTTGTTTGAAATTTTAAAAATATATATTTTTTTGATTTATTTGTTGTTAATAATTTAAATTAACAATTATATTTCAATAAAAAAATATAAGAATTTATTTGTTTTCAAGTAGTGTAAGTCGGTTTTTTTTTTGTCAGACTTGCAATAATTTCGTTTAAAATTGAGATATATATTTTTTTAGTAGTAGCTTCATCGTTTAGTTAGACATTCGAGAATTATGTAGAAATTTTTTTAAAAAAATTCTGTGACAGTTTTTGGTCAAACTTGACAATTTAAAGATTTATTTACAGCTATTTAGATACAATGTTCAGTAGTTTTAGTTTTTATTTAGTTAACCCTTGCAGGAAATAGACTAAATAATTAGGGAAAAATTGTTTAAAAAATTATGTATGTCTCGATTAGAACGATAATAATTTTTTCGTAAAATGTTTAATTGAAATACAATTTTCAGTAGTAGGGTTCCATTTTAGTCAGACATAAAGAAAATAATTGGAAATATTTCAGTTGTTTTTTAAGTAGTGTATGTCAGTGCTTAGTCAGACCGATAATAATTTTATTTAAAAATTGTAATAATTGAAGTATAATTATTGCTAGAAGTTTTTTCTTTAGGCAGACGTTCAAAAAAATAGTTTGATCCTTTTTTTCAAGTAGTTTAAGACAGTATTTGGTCAGACTGTCAATATTTTCTATACAGCAGTGAAATTTATAAATTGATAAATAAATTTTCAGTAGTTTAGTTCAATTTTTGTCAGACACAAAACATTAATTTTTTGCAAAATAAAACACTTTTAAGTAGTGTAAATCAGTTTGTGGTCAGACAGTGAATAATATAGAAAAATATTTCCAAGAAAATGTTCAGTGATAATGTTGTTGTTAAGTCAGACGTGTAAGGTATAATAAAGTAATAATGAGGGGAAAAATTACTTCTAAGTAGTGTAAGTCATTGTTTAGTCAGACAGTGAATAACATTATTAACCCCTTCGCTGTGTAGCAGAAATAAAGCTTCCGTGCCCCGTATGTGGTAAAAAAATTTTTTTAAAAAAAACCTGATGTTACCATACCTAAGAATACCTATTGACAAGTTTATCGTATTGTGTCTACTTATTTTTTTCTAGATGCTACTATAGCGGTCATACACACTGGTGGCACGATATTTTTATGCCTCTATAGAGGTCAATAACAGTGAAGGGGTTAAAAATTGTTAAATTATTTTAAAAAAATGAATTATAATTGTTAGTAGTACACTTCCCTGTTTAGTCAGACATTGAAGAATTCATCTAATTAGTAAAAATCGTAAGTAGTATAAAGCAGTATTTGGTCAGACTCAATATTTCTATAAAGCGCTGGAGTTTATGAATTGACACCATTTTTAGTGGTATAGTTTCAGTTTAGTATTAAAAAAAAGTTTAGTATGAAAATTATAATCCATTTAGAAAGATCTAACTTTTAAGTAATGGAAATCAGTGTTTGGTCAGACAGTGAATAATATATAAATATTGATAGAAAATTTTCAGTGGTACTATTGTTTTTTTAGTCAGACGTGCAAGGATTCAATCAAATAATAAGGGAAAAACTACTTCTAAGTAGTATAAGTCATTGTTTAGTCAGACAGTCGATAAAATTATTCAAAATATATTTTTCAACATTTATTACAAAGAAATATAATTTTTTAGTAGTACACGTCCCTGTTTAGTCAGACATTGAAAATTTACGCCAAATTCGTAAAAGTTGTAAGTAGTATAAACCAGTGTTTGGTCAGACGTTTAATAATTTCAGAAAAAAATTCATTTTCAATAGTACAGTTTTTTTTAGCCAGACACATTAAAATATCCATTACAAATTCTATAATTTATAATAAATTTAGAAAAATTGAATAAAATATGAATGAAAAATAAATAATTATGGTAAAATATTTCTAAAACGCATTGAGAAACAAAAAAAAGGGCAATTTTTTCCCATTAGGACAGAAAAAAAATTGCATCGACCCTTCTTGATGAACACACTCAAATGCTTTTAAAACACTTGTTTTTAAGATACTTTTGTTTGGCTCAGCTCGTTAAGAAAAAAAAAAATTTCCTTTTTCCCTACTCTTTTTTTTCCTACCGAGGGGTCTCTCTTTCTATTATATATACGTATATATATATAATGTCTATGAACTGCTTTGATGGAATGCAACCTTGTTCTGTATTGTTCTTTTCAGTGCCACCTAAAATCACGCCTTTCAATTTTGCTCGCGATTTAAACGTAGGGGATCGTACTAGCATACAGTGTGTTGTCGTCACCGGCGACCTACCTCTAACATTTACATGGCTCAAAGATAATGTGCCAATTGATGAAGTATCGGATACATCCCTGACGGGGCTTGAATCATCAATTGTTATTGGTAGTAAAAAATCGGGTCACGCTGATCAGCCCCGTCCAAGGGATCAGGGACAACAATTAAAGGCGATCAACATCCGCCAATATGACGCTTTTAACAGCGCTCTGAGCATTAGCACGATCGCACCTGCACACAATGGCACGTACACCTGTCGCGTGGCCAACGGTGCTGACACCGTCGCTCATTCTGCACTCCTCCACGTCAACGGTAACAGAAAACCGTTGGTGTTTCTTTATAAGCACCAACCCAAAAAAAAAAAAAAAAAAAAAAAATTCACCTTTTTTACATTGTCATTTTGACTGGGCAAAAATTAACGAAAAAATTTTTTTTACTTTCTTTTTTTTTTTGGTTGAAATAATGAGGAAAATTTGGAAATAGAAAATATTTCTAAAAAAGTAGAATTATTATTTTTTTTTTTGACAAATTTTGATTGAACATTTTATTTTTCCGATAGCCTAGGGATAAAGTAGTTGGTATGTATACTCTCCGAGTCGCAGGGTTCGATTCTTCTTGAAAGTGATTTTTTTCATTTGTGATGAAAAATAAATAAAATGTAAAATTAAATCGTAATCCCTGAAAAATGTTGAAATTAAAAGAATCTGTTTTTAAATTTAAATATTTTGAATTTTAATTTATATAATATTTTCTAGTTGAAATATTTCGTTTAATATTAAAATTAATATAATATAATTTTTATTGAATAAAAATATAAAATATTTTTAAAAATTTTCTTTTATATTAAAATGTTTATATTGATTATTATATATAAATAAATTTTGTATTTGGAATCTAATATTGGTAAAATTAGAAACACGATGTAAAAAAATTAGTAATTTTAAATGAAAACAAAAAAATTCGATTTAAAGAAAAATTGAACCCTGATGAGGAAAAAGCAGGTATACATGCACAAAATATTTTAATTTATTAAAAATAACAATAATTTAATATTACACTTTTTTTATTATCATAAAAAAAATATTTATCTGAAACAACGAAAGATTTCACTACAATAGCAAAAGTTTTAATTGTTCCAGTTAAATTTTTCACTATTTTAGTGAAACCTTTCGCTCTTCCAGATGAAGTTTTTTTCCGATTATTTATAATAAAAAAAGCATATTTATAATAATTATAAGAATTCAGACTAACGAGATATTATTAATACATTGATATTAATTTTTTAATTTCCTAGACGATAGAATTTCATATTCAGTTAACTTTAATAAATTAAAATTACTATAATACATTATCAGTAATGAATTCTCATATTTCCAATTTATAAATTATTTATTAAATTATAATTTAATCATTATTACAATTTTATTACTAATATTTTAATTAACTATTTTTTTATAATCGTAAATTTAAATTTATATAAATTTTTTTTTTTATTTAATATTGAACATTTTTATAATTAATAATTATTCCATAATATTTCATGTGAAAATTTTATTAATTAAAATTAAAATTATTAATAAATAAAAAAAAACTCTTGCCCAGTTACATGTCGATCCTCGTATCATAATTTTTATATTCCAATTTTTTATTTGCACAATTTTTCTCTTTTTCTTAAAAAAAAAAAAATCACTTTTAAATTTATTTAACTATTTTTTGCATGATTTAAAAATGAAAAAAAATTTGTTACGAGAATCGAAATGACAAAAAAGATGATCGTTTTTACTGAGAAAAGTAATGATTAAAAAAAACAAATAAAAATATCAAACATTATTAAAACAATTTACTATATATTTATTGCAAATCAATTTGAAATTAATGTTATTTATTAACTTTTTTATATGTTAATTTCAAATGATAAATTTCTGTTTGATTTGCTATTAATTTTTTGATAAAAATTGTTTTAATTAATTTTTGTAAAAAAAAAAAATCTTTTCTTTTTCATCAGTAAAGAATTCCTTTCTTTTTTTTCCAAAAATCTAACCTTGCCTGTTTTCTGCTACATGCTCTTTCACAAAATGCACGCTAAATAAAATTTTTTTTAGACGTTATAAATTCTTTCAGCTAAAACTTGTTCTATTTTCCTGCACGCTATTTTCTTCTGCACGCTAATTGCACGCTTTTTCGAACCGATTTTCAATGAAATACTTTTCAACTTAAAAACTTATATATTATACGTATATTATATATATAGTCTCAATAGTTCTGTATTTTGACTGATTCCACAGTTAATACATTTTTACTGTTATAGTATATATATATATATTCGATAGTCGAATGCATTCCCTGGACAACGTGTTGAGATAATGTTTCTCTAAGTCAGATGAAAATATCACTAATTAGTTAATGATTTTTTTTTAAAATTAATTACATATTTAATTACAATTTTATTATAACTAATTTTTAATTTTTTGATTTTTTTAATTCAGAAAAAAAATTTACTTATATTTATTTTTGAATAAATAAATTGATTAATTTATAAAAATATATATAAATTGCTATAAGCGATGTTATAATTAAAAATATGTAACTAGAGAATTTTTTTAGAATTTTTTTTTTATTTTTAAACATGTTTATAAAAGAGTGTAGCTAAAAAAGAGACCTTCTTATAAATTAGCCGCTAAGTGGAAAATTGTTTTAACATTCAGAAAGAATCTTTTTCCATTTGAGTTAATGAAAGTTTCTCTTGACTTCAAAGTAAATAACTCTATTTGCAGGCAAATTCACTTTGTCTAATGAAAGACAGATTTTTCACTCTTTTTTCTTTTTTTTGGCAAAAATAGAACATTTATTCTAGTCATTGACAAAAATGTCAATTTTAATAGAAAAGTAAATAAAAGATTTCTTATACTATTCTTTTGTAGAAAAAAAAAAAAATTTTGTTATTTTAACTTTTTTGGTTTTTTTTTTCTTCTGGTTTTTATGAAACATTTTCTCGTCCCTTAGCGCGTATGATCCTAAGTGACATTTTGAGTCTAGTTAAGATCTTAATGTCACATGACTGATGATACTCGACTATGCCCAGTTTTTAAACCGTGCTCGTTTCAATTTTCGTATATATTCGTAAAATGCATTAAAGGTCGTTTAAAAAAAAAATCGATTTTTCTTCCTCTACACAGTATATATAGTGTTTTTTTTTACATTACATTAATAGTTCTATAAAAAATATTAATCGAATAGTTAGATTAATTTTAGCGTTCATTTTTTTTTTTTTTGGTATTGACACAAAATAACAATCGTTTAAATATTATACTATGTATTTAACAATTTTTTGGATTGTTTCTTATATTCGAATTTTATATTCGTAGACAAATTTTTGAAAGTATGTTTTTGAATTCCTTTTTTTTTGGTATATGTTTTTTTTAATGACAATAATAATTTAATAATTGTCAAAAAAAAAAAAGACAAATCAGAGATGAAAAAGTTTGGAAATTGTTTTTTTTTCTCTGCGCGCGCAATTGAGAAAGAGAATATTGTCATAAAATTGCTTGAAACTCTCTCGCAGTCCACAAGTTGGAAAGCTGAAAAGGTTTGAAATCTGTCAATGTCATTGAGTTAATCCATTTCAATGAAGCAAACAATAGGACTTGGAATCCTCCAAAAGGGTGGAACGTCACTCTAATCGGTGATGAATCTTGATTGCTTTTTCAGGTCCTTTTCTTGATCTAATTAAAGAATGTAATTCTTCATTTAGAAGTTAAAAATTTATTTTTTCAATTAATTCAATACAATATAAAAAAAAAAAGAAAAACAATTATAATTTTTTTCAAAGTACAAATTGTTGAAAAAAGGACAAAAAAAAATCAATGGATTGACAAAACAAAAGATTGAAATTGTATAATAGATTGAAAAAGCTCAAAAAAAAGAGATAAAGAAGCAGAAGGATAAAAAAGCAACAAAAAAAACAATCGTTTCAGAAAAAAAATAGAAACAAACGATAGTTTGATAAAAAAATGTCAATACCTCAAAGCTAAATATTTTAAAATTAAATTATAATCTGAATTATTTATTTTTTAGAGAAAAATGATTAAAAACAATTATAAAAATTTTTTTTTAATTTTTTCTCGTTTCTTCAATCAATTATTGAATTAAATAAAACGTCATAAACAATTCTCTTTTTCTCAGCGAATAAAATTTCCATTTTCACGCGCAGAGATAAAAATAAGTCGGAGACTGTTTCTCCTCTGGTTTAGTCTCAAATTTCAAATTGTTTCCCAATCTCCTAGAAAAATACTCTCGGAGGTAGCAGATGGGAAATGGGTATTTTTCTTTTTTTTTTTATTATTATGGTTTGGGTAAGTAGTGAATAAATGAAACCCAAGTGAAAATAGTCGCAAAGCTGTGAAATGGGACCTCTTATTTATTTATTTTTTTTTTTTGAGATTGAATTAATTAAAACAGAATTTATTATATGAAAAATGAAAACAAAAAATCTAATTATATGGAATTTACGTAAAAAAAAAAACAAACAAATAGTATCAATTGCGTGACTATAACAATTATAGTTCCACCGCGGATTGCACCGTTTTATTTCGAAACTGGTGTCACCCAAGGGATGAGGACACAGCTAATGTGTACCACGAGCCAAGGAGATCAGCCGTTCAACATCACATGGCTAATGGACAAGAAACCAATTGAATTGAAAGAGAATGGTGATGTTTCATCGAACCAGTTATCGACGTCTGAGGAAAACAACAATATTCAGATAAGCGCCTATCCACCATTTTCCAGCATCCTCACGATTAGTAACGTCACTGCCAAGCATAGTGGCAACTACACTTGCAGTATTAGCAACATTGCTGGGGTCACCGAACATTCAGCAAGACTCTCCGTAACTGGTTTGTGTCAGATCTGCTCCGGGACTATCGATTTTTTTTTTATTTTATAAAATTTTCCTCTTGTTGAAAATTTTATTTATTTTTTTTATTATTTTCTATAGATTTATTGTTCTTTTTTTTGTTGCTTATTTATTTTTAATAATTTACGGTTGTTCTTTTTTAGGGTTTCGTGGTATTGTTGCCATATGGTAACAGTTACCATAGCAACCGTTTCCATAACAACCGTTTCCATGACAACCCTTACCATAGCAACCGTAACCATAGTAACCGTTTCCATATCAACCGTTACCATAGCAACAGTAACAACCGTTTCCATAGCAACCGTTACCATAGCAATCGTTACCATAGCTACCGTTTCCATAACAACCGTTTCCATGACAACCCTTACCATAGCAACCGTAACCATAGTAACCGTTTCCATATCAACAGTTACCATGGTAACAGTAACAACCGTTACCATAGCAACCGTTACCATAGCAATCGTTACCATAGCTACCGTTTCCATGACAACCCTTACCATAGCAACCGTAACCATAGTAACCGTTTCCATATCAACCGTTACCATACCAACAGTTACCATGGTAACAGTAACAACCGTTACCATAGCAACCGTTACCATAGCAATCGTTACCATAGCTACCGTTTCCATAACAACCGTTTCCATGACAACTCTTACCATAGCAACCGTAACCATAGTAACCGTTTCCATATCAACCGTTACCATACCAACAGTTACCATAGCAACCGTTACCATAGTAACCATAGTAACCGTTTCCATATCAATCGTTACCATGACCATGAAAGAATGAATTAGAAATTTTTACACTTATTTATTAATTTATAAAATTTTCTTCTTTTTGTTTGAAAATTTTATATTTTTTTTTTTACACTGAAAAAACAAAAATTTATTTAATTCAAATAATCGATAACTTGACTATTATATCAATGAAATATTTATTTGTATCAAATAATTATTATTTGAGTGAATTAAATATTATTTTCATCAAATACAGAAATTATTTGTTCAAATACAGTTTATTTAATTTACTCTTTTGGTGAAAAAAATTTTTTTTTTTTTTTTAATTTTACATTAATTTAAGTGAAATTGCATTTCAAGATCATCCCTGGATATATAATTTGATTAAGGTTTAATTAGTTCTTGATTAATATTGTGTTTCAATCGAAGTGAATTATTCAATTATCACATCAGGAGGAAATGATAAAAGATGATTGAATTTTCACTATATATAAATTATTATAATAATTAATTGATATTTAATTGATGTATCTAATTAATTTATCTAATTAATTTAATTTAATTAAATTTTCATTAAAAAATCTATAATTTATATTATTTAATCATTTTTCTACAATATTAATTTAATTTATTAATATTTTCATTAAACTGCAATTGATTTTGTTTATGATTTTTATTACTAATGTTGGATATATCAAATAACCAAACCCGGAGCATAATAATATATTACGTCCATGCCATTACCTTCAGTACACTGAAAAAAAAAAAAAAAATTATTTGCTTTAAATAATCAACTTGACTATCAAATAAATGTTTCTTTATATATAAAATAAATGTTTCTTTGTATCAAATAATATTTATTTGCATCTAATAATAATTGTATTTTGAATCAAACTTTATTTAAATCAAAAAAATTTTCTATTTGAAATAAATAAAATTTAATTGAATTAAAAATAAATAAGGAAATATTTATTTGATAATAGTCAAGTAACCGATTTATTTGAATCAATATAAATACATTTTTTTTCAGTTTATAAGAATAATTGTATTAATTATTAATTTAACATTATTATTTTTAATCAATTCTTTTTATGTTTTCAATAATAATTGAAGGAAATAAAAACATGGATGTAAATTTTCGTGAACTTGTATATAATATACATCTGAATAAAAGTGCACGCAACTGAAAAGAATCGGAATAACGAAACGATAATTAGTGTTAATTTTAATTATATATTATATAATTAAATTTTATATTATATTAAATAACTATATTTAGAATATTTATAATTAATTTATAATTATAATATTTCAATGGAATATTTTAATACATATTTCAGTATAATAAAATGAAAAAAAAAATTCCCTGAAATTGAAGATTTTGAAAGTGAGAGTGTCAATATTGTGTTTAAAAATATATTTCCGCGATAAAAGAATTTAAAAAAGAGGAAATAGATTTTCTATATATATATATATATAAGAATATATAACTGTAAAATTATCTATATCCATATATTGGTATACCGCATTTTCGATTGACCCTCTAAAGTAATTGCATATAGAATACGGATTGAGTGACATTCGGTGGTATACTGGGTGCGCGCACGTATAGTAAACTTCATTTTGCGCGCTGTGTTTATATTGGTTTACTCTTGGTGCGAGAGAACAAGTCACCAAAGTATCGTAAATTTAGATTACGTTTATGACTATAAACCAGCACGTCCACTGAATGTACTCGTACATCATGATTTTGACGTCATACCAGATATTTCGTTATGAGTGCCGAGTTATACTTTTTTCAACTCCATATATGCTCATTTCAATTTTTTTTTTTTTTTTCTCTATAGTACAAATGATATAAATAGAGACCCGTGCGAAAGTTCAAAGTCACTTATTTTGTTTTACATTGTTACACCATTAGAGAGAATGCCAATATTTCATAAAAAAAAAAGTTTGTTAAAATATTTTCAAGTTTTTCATATTTTATATTTATATTTGTTTTATATATTTTTTGAATTTTTCTTTTTTCAAGAATTTTTACAAAATATTTATATATTTAAAAATTTAAATAAATAAAAAAAATTAGTTTCAATGAAAAAAAAATATAGAAAATTAATATTTTTTCATTACTAAATAACGTTTTTTGTTACAAATTATAAACATTCCCGTTTTAAAAATTTTTCCGAATTCACTACTGGCGCGGTACTGGAATCAATTTTTGATAGTCAAATTTTGATAGGATTTAAATATATATTTTTTATTTATTTTATGAATTTTTAAATAGATTTTTAAAATTATATTGAATTTACAATTGATATTTTTTTTCATTATTTTATGATCCGCTTATGTTTAAATAAATAAATAAATTATAAAAACTATATTGTAATAGAAAAAAAAGTATATTAAAATTTGTATTGTTGAACCAAAAACAATCTAATTGAATATAATCATTTTGAATAGGCATTGAGTGATTAGCATGAGGTTTATGAAGCCAATGTCCCAATTATGCAATGACAGCATAACTGTTCCGGATTATGGAGAAATAAGCCTTCATTTACATAATTGTCGTAACATGTTAATATTGGTAATTAGATATGGTACAGTTCATGTTTTGATGCTATTGTATAGTTGGTACACCAATTTACCAACATTTAATGAAACGAAAATATTTTTTTTTGTTTTTTTTTGCCGCAAATTGACAAAATTTTTCTTGGTTAGAAAAAACTTTTTTTTTTTTAATGTAATGATTAATATAAAAATACTCTCTAAATCTGAATTAGTAAAAATGTTTACTAATTTGAATTAGTGACTCAATTTTCGCTTCTGAATTAATAAAATTTTACTAATTATCAGTAATTTTTACTAACAATTAGTAAAATTTTACTAATTATCAGTAAATTTTAGAAAAAATTAGTAAAATTTTACTAATTATCAGTAAATTTTACTAAAAATTAGTAAAATCTTACTAATTATCAGTAAATTTTACAAACAATTAGTAAATTTTTACTAATTATCAGTAAATTTTACTAATTATCAGTAAATTTTACTAATTATCAGTAAATTTTACTAAAAATTAGTAATATTACTAATATTAATAATATTAATATTATTATTATTATTAATATTACTAATATTACTATTTGATTTAGTAATATATTTTCTTTACTAAAATTTTTAATGAATGAATTCTCACTAATTAAAAATTATAGAGATAATTTTTAATTAATTTCAATTAAATTTTATCATTCCACATTGAATTATTTAAAGAATTTTTAATTGACATAAAATTAAAAATACTATTAAGAAACTACTCTCTAAATCTAAATTAGTAAAAATGTTTACTAATTTAAATTAGTGACTCACTTTTTGCTTTCAAATTAGTTAAATTTTACTAATTGTTAGTAAAATTTACTGATAATTAGTAAAATTTTACTAATTGTTAATAAATTACTAAATCAAATATTAAAATTTTACTAATTGTTGGTAAATTACTAAATCAAATATTAAAATTTTACTGAAAATTAGTGAAAATTTTATAATCTAAAGGAAACTTTAAATAAAAAAATTTTTTTTTCCAATTTTACAGTCAAAAAAAGTGGAAAAAATACTTTTCGCAATTTTTAAAATAAACACCACTATTGGAAGAGGATAGTAAATAGTGTTTGATAGTGCGCGCTGTGATATTTGTATTATAAAAATGTTCTTGGTTTATTTATTTTTTTTTTTTATTTTGTCTAGAGTTTCTCGAAAAGTAGTTTGGTGACGAGTCGTAGAAAATAACGTGTGTAAGGATGGTACTTCCGTGCTAAGTAAATCCGCCTTGTCGGGATTTACCCACTTCCGCACTCAACGGCAGAAGCAGAAATCTGTACTTTCCCGGAGAACACGTATATTTTCAACGACCATCTCAGCTTTCGGTTCCAGATTTTCATTCTCTGAGATTTCATTTTCTTTATATGGTCGACTCCCTTTGACACTCACTCTCAAAAACTGATGAAAATAATAATAATAATAATAATAAATATTATTATTACTATTGTTATTAAATTAAAATTATTGATATTCTAAAAAAGACAATAAAATATTCCAATGAATTGAATAGAGAAAAATTTATGTGAAAAAAAGTAAAATTTTTATTATTCTGATTCTTTTCTAAATAAAGAGCAAATTGTCTGTCGTAAATTATATATATATATAATTAATTAAATAGTGTTTATTGCACACAAAAAAACTAATTTTCACAGCATTGTGGTTTTCACAAGAATCGAATAATAGTGATAGATCACTGCAAATTAATATAAAAAATAATAATGATAATTTACGTAGGTGAGAAAAAAAATGTTTTGTAATTTTTACAATATTTGAGAATTGAGAAAAAAAAAGAAATATTTTCTATTGTAATTTCTTACAATTTGAAATATGAGAGAAAAATTTATTTTCTATATTGTAAATTGTACAATTTTTTTTTTTACATTTCTCTCTACGTGATTTTTTTTTTTGGCAAATAAAAAAAGGAAGGGAAAAATTTTTGTATTAATATAAAAATTGAGGGAGCTTCATTTTTTGTGATTCATTTTAATGCATGAAAGTGAAGAGAGATGATATAAACGTAATCATCATTTTCGCATGACTGGCGCGTGACTTCTACGAATTGCATAACATGATTAATGTTATTAATTAGTGCATTCGCATGACTATGTGATTTGTTAGATTTCTCATAATTACTCCCTAATGCTTTATGTAACATTGATGTACTCTTTAACAAAATTTATATATATATATATATATTAGACTTATCATATAGTAATTAATTTTTTTTTCATTATTTTTTATGTTTTACATTTTTTTTGTTGTTGCATAAAAATATTTCTAAAATAATTTTTCTTTGTAATTAGTTTAAATATTTTACTAATATTCGTAGATTTTCAATTCATTTTATTAATATTTTTTTTTATTTTACGTAAGTTATATTTTTTAAAAGGGAATGTTAAATTTTTTATTATTTTAAATAAGAAAATATTTTTTTTCTCGTAGAAAAAGTAACATATTATATTTTTATAATAAAAAAATCACTCTATTTTTTGCATGTTTTTAATATTTTACATTAAAATTTGCATGTTATTATAAAATTTATTATTTATTAACATTACATTTTTAATTATTTTTAATAATAAATTTTTTATATATTATCCAGTATTTTTTAATGTGAAATTTGCGGTAATTGTGTTAAAAGCATGTTCTGTTTTTTCTTTCTTTTATATTAAAATATATATATATAATATTTCCTTGTAATTTAGTTTCATTATTTTATTATGCATTTAAAATTTTTAAAATAAAATTAGTGAATAATTTATGATATTTGAGAAATTATTATATATATTAATTAAATTATAATATTTTTGGCATCTTGCATAATTGATATATGTCTTATGTTTGCAATTACTATTTTTGGAGACAAAATTGCGATTTTCTTATAGCATGTTTTTTTTTTTAAATTAATTATTAATATATTACGTGACAATTTTTTATACATTGAATTATTAATTCTATTTCGAGTGAATTGAATTTTATATTAACTAATTTTCATTTAATAAAAGAAAATTATTTTTATTACAAAATAATAAGAAGATGATAAACATTTTTTGTGCGAATTTTTTTTTCATGAAAATAAAATAAAAAATGTTTTTCCATTAATGATAATTGATTAAAAGAATATAAAATAAATAATTTTCTCCAAATAGAATGTTTGTTGTTTTTAGAACTTTTTTTCAGTTGTTAAAAAAAAATATGTTTTTTCAAAATAATTTTAACAAAATTACTTCATTTTTTTCAGTGCCACCGCAATGGAAAATTGAGCCTATCAACCAAGATGCCATTGTGGGTCACAGTGTTTCCATTGCTTGTCAAGCTGAAGGATTTCCGATTCCATCTGTAACTTGGAAGCAATCTAACAGTAAGTCATAGATCTTTAAGATGAAACGTAAATCTGACCTAGAAATAAAACTGAATTTCATCAAATTTTTCGCCTTTGATCACAAAGAGAAAATTGCGTTTTTTTTTCTGCAATTCAGTCGTCTTTTCTCTCTCTCTCTCGTGTTTTTTTCTCTCTCTCTCTCTCTCTTTCTATCATCAAATGTAGATCGATGGAAAATAAAGCTTTTAGGCAACTTTCAAAGCAATAGAAAGAGAGAGAGAGAGTCAATTCATGTTTTATACTTCAAAAATAAAAGCAGCTAAAATCCCGATAAAATAACTTGAATATTAAATTTCTCTCTTTGTTCCATTTTCATTAATATTCAAATGATAATTAATATTAATCGATTTGAATATGATATTTCACATATATTTTTTGCTTTTGGATAAAAGTAATTTAATATAAAGGATTAAAAAAATGGATAATATAAAATTTTTTTAAAAAGTGTACAATTTTTTCATTATGAATTTTTTTTTTGAAATTTAATTTTTAATTTATAATTAAAAAAAGATAATTTTTCTTCATAAAGTTTGAGTTGTTTTTTTTTTAAGAAATGGGGAATTTTTTTTATTTCTTTTACTAGGAAAGATTTGGCGAAGAGATTTTCTTTTTTTTTTTTATTCAAGATTTTGCTTGAGGCTAGTTTTTCGATTTCGCTCGCGCCACGTTATACAACGAAAGGCTCTTTTGTTTGGAAAGTTCCTTCAACAATCTTAAAGAGAGGGAGGAGGGATAGAGGGATGGTCTTTACATGAACATGAAGCATTCGCGTGGTAATGCCTGCTTTCATTGACTCATAATAATTCAAGCTAGAGGAAATTCAGTCGATCTCCATCAGAAATTTTGCTGATCGACACTCTCAGCGGTTTCATTCAAACCGAAAATAAGCTCTTCGCTCTATATCTATATATTGAAGGGAGAAGATTACTTTCATCCGTGATATGCTCCTGACGTGCTTTAGCTCACTTGCACTATTGCCGCGAGGTGTATCTTGCAAGACTAGTTTCACAAAACCTGCAAGCTATACTTATCAGGGGCAAAAAAAAAAATATTATTCTACTTTAAATAACAAACTATCCAATTTTAACCAGAAAAATATATTGAAAAATTTATAATCATTTGTTTTAAAAAGCAAAACTTGAGGAAAAAATTTATATTTGATGATAGTTATATGAAAAAAAAAATTTATAATTAAATTCAAATTTAATTTTGTCTGATGTTAAATAAAAATAATTTTAATCTTGTCTGACTGAAAGTTGATCTAACTACTGATATTTAATTTTCACAAAAGAAATTCTATGGTCTGACTAAAACTGACTTTTACTACTGAAAAATTAGCACAAAAAAAATTCAATTTAAAAACAACAGTGAGACACTAAAACAAATTGTCTGACAAAAATTGTTTTTTACTACTGATGGCAGTATTTTAAAAAATTTGTAAGATAAATTAACTGACTCTACGGAAAAATAACGAATATTTGAAATACATTATCTGTCTGATTAAAACTAATATTTTCTACTGATTCTAAAATTTAAAGAATTTTTTTGACATTCTGACTGCTAAAGAAATTGCTTTCTGACTAAAATTGTCTTTTTTTATAAATAAATAAGTTATAAGAATTTACAACTTGTCTGACTAAAACTGATATTTATCACTGAAAAATAAGAAATTTTTAAATTCAAATAATTATAAGTCTTTAAAAAAACCTGTCTGACTAAATCTGTATTTTTCTACTGGTACAAATATTATAAGTTTTGAAAAAACTAGTCTGACTGAAACTGACTTTATTTACTCACCACTGTTGTTATTATTTTTTTTTTTTAACTTTTAACTAATTTTGTTAATTTAATAACATGTCTGACCGAATTTCTATTTTACTACTTAAATAATAAATACAACTTTTTGTCTAACCAGAACTGACTTTTACTACTGATCTAAAAAAATATATTGAATTTTTTACTTTTTCTTTATTTTCAAATAAAAATTATATTCCTCATCAAAAAATAGTTAACAATAGTCAATTATTTAATTAAAGGAAAAAAAAAATTTTCAATCTATTTTTCAAAATTTTTTTCTTTGTTATATTAAAAATATAAATCCACTTCAGTTTTCTTTATCCAATATTTTCCGCTAGCCAATTATATTTATATCGACATCTGCATCTTGACTTCAAGTATAATGAATCATAAAATTCCGACGGTTTTTTTTTTTACAATCAATATTACATTTTCCGAAACAACTTGAATTGATAGAATAGAAAATATCGAATAATAGAAATATCCATCACAAAAGATATAAATATATAGAATAGAAAAAATAGTTTAAAATAAATTTTTAGAATATGGTATATCTCTGAATGAAAAATAGAATGAAAGAAAGAAAGAAAAAAAAACTTATATGGGTACACAATGGTTTTTCTTTTGATAAATGAATGGTCTGTCGAAAAATTGGAGTAGTAGCCGCAACGAAAAGAGTTTGCCCATCTCACATATACTTCATCAAAGACATTTTTCGAAAGGAATGAAAAGCTGGAAATATTCCTTTTCTGTGACCCATTGAACGTGCTTGCGACTTTAATAATAAATCGGAAACGAATGTCCTCCACCAGAAAAGGTTTTTATCCCATAATGGTTAAACGATAAGTCGAACAACTTTATCACGCGTAAAACTGACATTTACTTTTTATATTTATTTATGTACATACATAATCTCTTAATTTAAATTAGTGATCATTTTTTCACAATTTTAAATTTGTAGAAATTTTCATTAATTTCTTTTTTTTTCGGTAAAATATTACAATTTTATTTAGTAATTTTTGTTTTAATGAAAATTTAGTGAAAAATGAATAAAAATTAGTAGAAATTTCCAATTATTTTTAATAAAATATTACTATTATATTGTAACTGAAAATTAATAGAAATTTACACTAATTTTTAGTAAAATTTTACTATTAATATAACTAAAAATTAGTAGAAATTTTTACTGTTTTTTTAATAACATATTGCTGTATGATTAAGTAGAATTTTTCTTTTTCTAATTTTTTTTAGTAAAAAATGACTAAAAATTAGTAGAAATTTTCACTATTTAGTAAAATATTACTATTAGTATAATTAAAAATTAATAGAAATTTACACTAATTTTTAGTAAAATTTTACTATAAGTGTAACTCATAATGAGTAGAAATTTTCATTAATTAGTAAAATTTTACTATAAGTGTAACTAATAATTAGTAGAAATTTTCATTCATTAGTAAAATATTAGTGTAACTAATAATTAGTAGAAATTTTTATTAATTAGTAAAATATTACTATTACTATAACTAAAAAGTAGTAGGATTTTTATTGATTTTCAATAAAATATTACTATTTGATTTAGTAGTATTTTAATTTTCACCAAAGTTTCAGTGAAAAAATGACTAAAAATTAGTAGATGTTTTCACTATTTAGTAAAATATTACTATTAGTATAATTAAAAATTAATAGAAATTTACACTAATTTTTAGTAAAATTTTACTATAAGTGTAACTAATAATTAGTAGAAATTTTCATTAATTAGTAAAATATTACTATTACTATAACTAAAAATTAGTAGAATTTTTATTGACTGTCAAAAAAATATTACTATTTGATTTAGTAGTATTTTAATTTTCACCAAAGTTTCAGTGAAAAAATGTCTAAAAATTAGTAGAAGTTTTCACTATTTAGTAAAATATTACTATTAGTATAATTAAAAATGAATAGAAATTTACACTAATTTTTAGTAAAATATTACTATAAGTGTAACTAATAATTAGTAGAAATTTTCATTAACTAGTAAAATATTACTATTACTATAACTAAAAATTAGTAGCATTTTTATTGATTTTCAATAAAATATTACTATTTGATTTAGTAGTATTTGAATTTTCACCAAAGTTTCAGTGAAAAAATGACTAAAAATTAGTAGATGTTTTCACTATTTAGTAAAATATTACTATTAGTATAATTAAAAATTAATAGAAATTTACACTAATTTTTAGTAAAATTTTACTATAAGTGTAACTAATAATTAGTAGAAATTTTCATTAATTAGTAAAATATTACTATTACTATAACTAAAAATTAGTAGAATTTTTATTGATTGTCAATAAAATATTACTATTTGATTTAGTAGTATTTTAATTTTCACCAAAGTTTCAGAGAAAAAATGACTAAAAATTAGTAGAAATTTTCACTTATTTAAATTAATTAACGAATTCGCAGTAATTTAAATTTAGAGAATATCCAGTATAAAGACAATTTGTGTCTGAGTCAAACATGCCTTCACTACTAATAAAAAAAAAAGAAAAAATAAATGTAAAAAAATAATAAAAAGAAATAAAAAATTCAATGAAGAAAAATTAAAAAATTAACGATCGATTAAAAGTCCTGTATCGAGGGACTATTCAAGTATTAAAAAGGAAGAACAAAAAAACTATAAAAAAAATTCCTTCATGTCGTAAAATTTTGAGAAAAAAAAAGAAATATTCACACGAGGGTCATTTTGTAATATACAGAATGTTCGTGTTTTTTTTTGTATTCTTTTTCTTCGTGCTGAGGGTTTTTTTTACGATCACATTTACGTGTCATTTTGTTTTGGAATATTCAGGTGAGAATCCAGGGGACTATAGGGAACTTGGTTATGGTGGTACCGAAGGAGCTGGAGTTGCTGCAAATGGGTCGTTGGTGATCCCAAGGGTATCTCGAGAGCACAGTGGCTCTTACCTATGCAAGGCAACCAATGGCATTGGTCCTGGTCTCAGCAAACTCATTCAGCTAACAGTTCATGGTAAAATATTTACGAAGAATTTATATATTCTATCTCTGTCATATAACCATACATATATGTATATATATACTGCTTGCAAATATGAGGGATAAAAATTCTTGGGTGTCCTGTTCCAATAATATTATATACGTATACATATATATATATATATATATATATATATATATATATATATATATATATATGTATAAAGACGCGATACATCAAACTACTATACATGTTGTGGCACGTTGAATGTTGTTGCAACAAAATTGAAAATCTATCTTTATACCTTCAGAGTAGCATGAGGCGCACTTTTTCTACAATATAGAGGAAAAATCTTTACCACACAAAAAAAAGACATCTAAAACCACGAAAACATTTTTATATCGTTAAATTTTCTTTTTTAAATTGAAATTTAGATGAAAGTTTAATTATTTTATTTTTAATAAAAAAAAAATACCTCTTTTTTTTTTTATCCAGTAATTGTAAAATAATTTTTTCAGAATTTCCTGGATTAATAATTTTATTAAAAATTATTTTACAAAATATTATTATACTAGATGGAAAAACTATAAGTAATAGTTATTATTATAAATAATTTTATTATATTATTGATTGTTATATACACCGATTAGTTTTTTTTTTAAATTAAAAAAATCGTCAGTCAAAATAGAAAAATATTGAAAATGAGTTTTTTTTTTTTTTTTTTTGAAAGACTTCATTTTCAGATACTGATGAGAATTTTCTTTGCTGTTTAAAAAGAAAAGGTGAATAAAAAAAAAAATTGTGTTTTGCTTTCATAAAGATGATGATGAGAGGAAGAGCGTTAGATTTAAAGAAAATTATATTTAATGAAACTTTTGAAGAGAGCATACTGTGTATCTCTGTGTATATATGTGCGTTTTCTTAGATTGCGCAGTGAGCCTATATATATATACATTATATGAGAGAAGGTATCTCGACCCCTTTTACAGTAAATTTCACCATCTTCATAGAAACGTCACATGAATACTTGAATATACACGTGCTATCTATTCTATGTACTCACATTTGTTTCACGTACTTATGCGGTTGCATTCAGCACGTCGCACAAGTCATAGCAATACCGCACACCAGAAATTCTACACCAGTCTGAATACAAACAGGGCACTACATATTCCTCACGTATGCAATAATAATAATAATAATTATTGTTATAAATCATTGCCACTATTGTAATGAAAAAAATTTTCCCACATACATTATATACCACTTGTGAGAGTATTATACTATTTTAATAATTTTTATTTAATTATTAAATGTAATAATAATAATAATAATAATAATAATAATAATAATAATAATAATAATAATAATAATAATAATAATTATAATTATAATTATTATTATTATTATTATTATTATTATTTTTATTACTATTGTTAAATATTATTATTATTATTGAATTTATTAATTTTCTACAAATACTGGAACTTTTACAATAATTTTAAACTTTATCCGTCTGACTAAAACACTATTTTACTACTTATTCTTATATTGGTTGAAATTAAAACAACATGCCTGGACAAAAACTGACATCTACTACTGAAAAATAATATTTTACTACTGATATAACATTATTTAATTTATTAATTATTTTATTTTTTTAATTAACAGTAAATGTTCTGACTACTATTTATGTTACATTGTCTGAATATAACTGACTTTTACTACTGAAAAATTACCAATATTTTAAACAAAATATTTTCCTGGCTAAAACTACTTTTTTCTATTGACATAAGAGATAAAAAAAAATTCAGAAAGTCTGACTAAAACTTAATCTAACAACTGATATTAAATTTTCAAGAAAAAAATTTAATTTGTCTGACTATAACTTACCTTTTTTTACTTATATATTATCTGACATTGAAAGTATTGGTTTGACTAAAACACTCTTTCACTACTGAAAAATAAATAAATGAATATAAAAACAATTGTAAGACTCTAAAAAAAAGTTGTCTGACAAAAACTGTCTTTTACTACTGTTAACAATATTTTTGAGTGATGTTTATATGATACTTTGGCTGATTATAAATGACTCTTACTATAATGAAAATTTACTAATATTTAAAACATTATGTCTGTCTGACTAAAACTAACTTTTTCTACTGATGGTAAAATTTAAAATATTTTTTTGACATTCTGACTGCGGAAAGAAATTTTTTTTTATTAATAACACTTATGTCACTTATATAGAAAATTAAAAGGCATTAAAATAAGCTGCAACGCTTCATATTTTAATCCAATTTTGGTTATTTTAATTCATTTTGGTATTAAAATAAGCAAAATTGGATTAAAATAAGAAGCGTTGAAGCTTATTTTAATGCCTTTTAATTTTCTGTGTATGTTTGAAACTATCTTCTTTGACGAATATAAAAACTAAATACTTGTCTGACTAAAACTGATATTTACTACTGAGAAATAACAAAGTCTTAAATTCAAAAACATTATAAACCTTTAAAGAAATATGTCTGACTAAAATTGTTTTTTACTACTGAAATCGATATTTTGATAATTATTTATAATACTTTGTCTGATTATAAATATCTTTTACTACTGAAAGCAACTGTTGCTAGGTGAAAAAAATATTCGTATAGCAATCGTTGCTAGGCATATTATATATATAATATAATAATATTATATATAAAAGTATCGCTTTGGTATGATTTTTTTATAATAGAAATACAAAGAGAGGGAAAAAAAAGTGCCTCATTAGTAGAAAACAATTTCCTTTCAATTTTGTCGTCTGTAAAGAAATAAAAAAAAATATATATTTTTCTCTCGAAATTGTCACTCGTGTTGTTAAGTGGGAAAGTTAATACTCAATTAAGGAACATATATCGAGGAAAAAGAAAAAGATTCTATACAAGCCTCGAGCTACTCTTGAGGGACATGGTATTAAAGTCGTTGCTTTTCGAGTAGTGCGGGTTGATTTATGTCAATAAGAGAATTTTTTGCCGCAGTATATATATATATATATAGTAAAGGTGTATTTCGATTGTGAGATTTTGTGTATGTGTATATATATGAAAACGTAATCTCTTAAAACAGCAGGACCTTCGGTGACCGTTCGAAGTAGAGAGGAATCAGTGAGACGAGGTGAGAAAGTGACTTTACGTTGTGAAGCCGAAGGAGATGCACCACTCGATCTCAGTTGGCGAACTCGTGGAAGTACTGTTGGAACTACTTATGATGATAGGTTTGTATCCAATTTACACCACTTCCATTTTACGTATCTCTATATATATATATATACGTTCTTCTCCCTTTGGATTTACATATACAGATTCCCAAGTCCAAGAAACTCTCTATCAGATGAAAATTTATTCAAGCAAAATGTAAAATCCTCTTCTTGGAAAAGCGGCTGCAAAATTTTGACAAAAAACTAATTTCACTGAAAAAAATTTATCCGAAATCTTATTATATCAACTACATTCTTAGTTATTTTAACTACTTTTTAGTAATTAATACAACTTTAAAAATTAAGTTGAGGACCTATTGTACTATACAGGGTAGTTAAAAAGTATAGTCAAATCTACTACTTATTTTTTTGAGTGTTCAAATTGACTACACCCGAGTCGAAATTTTTCCCTCTTTTCACCCTCGATTTTCTCAGCCACTTTTCAGCCTGAAAAGGCTTATTTCCAAATCTGCATGTTTAGAGGTTGAAAAGAGGTCTTGGAATTTTTTTCTTAATTTGAATTTTTCGAAATTTTATTCCTCCTATAAAAGTTTTATAGTATTACGACAAAGACCAATAAATATATCTTCAATAGGGTCAATAAATAATGTCCATAAGAAAAAAAATCCAATTTTTACATTTTTTTAATTTTATTTTTTCGTTTTTTTAACCTCTTTTACGCCTCTCTAGTCATCTTTAAACCCTCCTTTCAGCCTCCAATATAGCAGATATTTCCACTTTTGCAAATTCGAGGTCGAAAAAAGAGGGTATGAAAGTGTTGGAGAGAATAAAAGGAGGATAAAAGGAGGTTTTTAGAGAACTTATAGAGAGTCTAAATTTCTACTCCGGTAAAATCACAGAAAATTAAAATAAGCTGCAACGCTTATTATTTTAATCCAATTTTGCTTATTTTAATACCAAAATGGATTCAAATAAGTAAAATTGCATTAAAATAATAAGCGTTGCAGCTTATTTTAATGCCTTTTAATTTTCTGTGATTATATATATATATATTCACGAGTTTTTCACTTTATATTGAATTATTATTATTATTATTATTATTATTATTATTATTATTATTATTATTATTATTATTATTATTATTATTACATCATGCTAATTAATGAGCAATCTATTTATTTAAGGGGACCAATTAATTTTTATTTGAATCAAGTAAACATATATTAGGCCCAAATAATTTCTATTTTAATCGAATAAAATTTTTTTTGGTGTTAATTAAATTTTATATTTGAATAAAATAGATATATATATTTTTTTTGAAACAAATAAAATTTATTTGAATAAAAATAAATATTTATATTTAGATGAAATAATTTTTATTTTAATTAAATAAATATTTATTATATTTGAATGATATAATTTTTGATTTGCCACGGATCATGGGAAATCAAGGAAAAATTAAATTTTTTGTCGTAACCCTGTTATAGTAATTTTTTTGTAATCGTGATAAATTAGAATTTTTCCCATTTTTGTTATAAAACTTAATATAAATAAAGAAAGTATATTTTTATGTTGCGACAGTAAAGTAAATTTATACTTATTTGGAACAATCGCGATATATATATAGGTACATTGATAGTCGGACAGTGGTTTCCTCAAAGTGTGTATGTAATAAAATCGATTGAAATCGACATGAATTATCGATCAAGTGATAAAAATTAAGTGAAAGTCTAGCTTGGAAAATAAAAATTACGACACGTATAGCTCTTTCGCATTGGCAAGTATAACCCGTCATAAAAATGTCGATTTTACGTCCTATATATATATATATACACGAAAAAGTATTTTCACATTTATTTTCCTGTTTTCCCATCGCTTCCTGCAGCGATGCTTTAGAAGGAATGTAAGTGTCCATTTCAGTGTATAGAAACTCATCTTTCCAATGTTCGCGCAGAGTCCATCATTTCCACAATGCCCCAGACGAACGTGTTTTTTTGCACCTAAATTCTTCTATTTTCACTTTAATAGATTTCAATTTTTCAAATATTCTTCCATCATTAATAATTTCATTAACATTTTTTTTTTTTTTTTTTTCTTTTATTTTCACTGTGAAACATAGTTTTTGGAAAAAAAAATTGTTTTTCTATATTTTAATTACGTGAAATGTCGTTTAAATTTCAAATATTTGATATAATATAAAAGGAAATAAAAAAAAGTTTTTTGCTTTTTATATGAATTCAAGTTATTCAATTTAGTATTCATATGTTAAATTTCATGAATAATTATGGAAATTACTTTATGTAGAGTAGATTTAATTTAAGTGTATAATTCAACAAGGTTTTCGTTATTAGAAAATTGTACCGGCAGTTTTTAAATATTTTTTTTTGGTTTTCTTTTATCCGATAATCTTGCTGGATTTTTTTTTTTTATTTTAATATTTATGATTATTTATACATATTCGATTTGTGTGATTTTTTTTTTAATTTTTAACTTTTACGTTTACTGTCTACTTTTTTTTTGTTATTTTAAGATTTATAATTATTTATACTTTATTTGATTTGTGTTTTTTTTTTAATTTTTAAATTTTACGTTTACTGTCTACTTTTTTTTGTTATTTTAATATTTATAATTATTTATACTTTATTTGATTTATGTTTTTTTTTTAATTTTTAAATTTTACGTTTACTGTCTATTTTTTTTGTTATTTTAATATTTTAATTATTTATATTTATACTTTATTTGATTTATGTTTTTTTTTAATTTTTAAATTTTACGTTAAAATAAAAGGTCATCAACTGCAACAAAATTGTCAGGCAAAAAATTTTATTCAATTTTTATGATAGTCATAGTATTGTAAGGTTTCCTTGAGCCGCTGAATATGAAATTTGAAATCAGATATTTGGTTCGACATGTTGAAATTTGCATATCTGATTTCAGATTTGTATTCAACGAGACATATATAGAGTTTAGAGGAAATCTATGAATTAATTAAATTTTGTAGAAATAAAAAAAAAATTTGTTGGTCTACCACGAATTTTATGTATATTTGATAAACATATTCTGACTTTACGGAAAAACTACGAAAACAAAATTTTTCAAAAATTTGTATCATTTTTTGTTTTATCTAAAATTGTATGCAGACTAAAAAAAATTGTTTGAAACAACCAAATTTTGGTTTAATTAAAATACACTCAACGTTTATTTAGATTAAATAATTATTTATTTAAATTAAATTTTGTTTGAAATAATAAAAAAATTTGTATTGGAAAAAAATTACACTGACCGTATACATATAAATAAATAAATATTTGTTTTTTTTCAGTGTAAAAACTTCGAAAATGTAGATTTTGTAAAAATTGTGTAACAATTATTTTTTCCAGATACACGGTGAAAAATTCTCCCACCACACTTGGCCTCGTATCGGAATTACGTATTATTCAAGCTGGCCATGCCGATCGTGGTGAATATGTGTGTGTCGCAAGAAACGCTTACGGTCACGATAAAGTCACTGTACATCTACTTGTTCAAGAACCTCCGAATTTTCCTCGAAATTTACACGTGGCCGAACTGGGTAGTCGAGCGATAACTTTGGAATGGTCTACACCGTCAAGTGTCGCAGATTCCTTGCATCCTGATTCTCCAATCTCAAAATATGTAGTCCAATATAAAGAAGCTCAAGGTACGTGACTTGAAATATAATATATATATATTTTTTTTCTATCTCTCTCTTTTTTTTTTTCTTCCTTTATTTTTCATGTCTCTACAATTTTCATTGGTATTGTCCATATCCATATTGCCCAAGGATCCAATAACTTGAAGTAGCAGCAGGAACTTTATTATTATTTTCTTCCACTCTCTTTGCTTTCACTAAGAAAATCGGATCAAATTTATTTTATGTTTACAGAACCTATTATATTCTTTTTTATTTCTATTTTTTATTCATAACAACAATTGTTTTTTTTTTTCATTTCAAAAAAATGAATTTATTTTACAATGACAATTTTATTGTGATTTTATAAATCTTTCAATCAAATGTCCAAAACAATTCTTTTTAATCGTATATAAAAATTTACAATTTGATTTTTCACATTCATTTTCTTTTTAAATTTTTTTAACTAATTTCTTATTCCTTTTTTTCGTGTCAAAATTGGATTTTTAAATAATTAAAAGAAAAATAAAATATTTTTCTGTCATAAAATAAAATTGTCGATAAAAGAAATTTAGAGTTCCACTTGTAAATGTTAATAAATGAAAAAATCAATAATTTCCAATATGATTGGTATTTGATATTCTCAAAAGATATTGGAAGTGGCAAGTGAATCGACAAAAAAAAAAAAAAAAGGGGGAACAAAAAAAAAATTGTAATGTGAAGAAGCGGTAAAATCAATTTAAAACAAAGTGGATTGTTTGATTATTGAAAAATATGCCTCTAACGAAACCCTTTATTTCACTTCTTCAGATCGAAAAAAAAATTCAATTTCCATTCATATGCTTTTTATGTAAAAGGATTCAAAAAAAAAAAAGTTTTATTTTCATCTCTTCGTTACTTTTTTTTGGTATGATTTTATAATTTTTTTTTTCAATTAAAACAAACAGTTATATAGATTTTAAGTTGTTTTTTTTGCAACTCATCGTAAACAGCGGATTTTTTTTCAAATTTTTCTCCAATTTTTTAAAGTCGAATAAATCTGAATAGTTGCAACTCTTTATGTATATGGACTTGATGAAGCAATACATTATCGATATTTTAGACATATTCTTATTTTTCAAAATATAGAAATTTTTCCTATTAAAGGATTTTGTATACAATATTTACAATAAATGTTCTCAAAAAGAGATTTGAATTTCTATTTTACTTTTTTAATTATTAATAAATGAAAAAAAATTTCTTTTCAATTCTTGATTTTTTGAAGCTGAATTTATTTTCCACGCGGTAATTATTTTTGCATTAGTGTAAAAATCATAAAATGTATGATCAAAAATAAAAAATTGTGGTTTCATTATAGAACTAATAAGAGAAAACTAATTCCCTTTTCAACCACACACATGCATTTTCTCTTTAACTTCATATATAGTATATGAGAATTGACGGGCGGAAGACTGTCGCGTAACTAAATTTCACTTCGATTTCAGTTTCTATTCAGGAAACATATATGATATACAGTGAAATAAGCCGATGCGCTTTCAACCAACTACATTTGATTAACTCCCTAAATATATTCAAACTATGAAATTTTACTTCACTTATACAAAATGAAATATATTTTTTTAAACCGTTTTTCAGGATCAATGTCTGTCGAATTAATTAATTAATTAATAATTAATACTAATGATTAATAAATTAATTACTAATTTATAATAATAATTAATTAAAAAATAAAATGATGCATTTTTTTTTTTTTGAAATGTGAAATTAAAAATCATTGAATAATTTATTATTTTAAGCAATTGTATTTTTTGGTATTGAAAAAGATGTGTGGCATGAACACAACACGCAGAAGATGATCGAGGGAGACAAGACGGTTGCATTGGTATCCCCGCTAAAACCCGCGACAACCTACCACTTTCGGGTGTTTGCGGAAAATCATCTCGGAACATCAGCCCCAAGCGACATTCTTCATGTCAGTATCAATCGATCAATCATAGTCATTATTCATTATCATCATCATTATTATTATTATTATCATGAAATTGAAAAATTTTCTAAATTCCATTTTATCGATAAATTTTCGTCTCAATATTTTAAGGTTCAAACACAAGGTGAAGTTCCTGGTGGGCCACCTAGACAAGTTTCCATTAAACCAATTAGTCCCCAGCAAATGAAAATCACTTGGCAACCTCCCGATCGTTCTCTCTGGAATGGCGAATTACAGGGTTATGCTATCACTTTTACAAATTTAGGGTGAGTTTTTGAAAAAAAATTTTGTTTTTACCTTTGCCGAATTTTGTTATTTAAGCAAATAATTTTTATTTGGAATAAATAAAAATTAATTTGAAATTATTTGAAACAAATAAATATATGACAAAAATTTATTATAAAATAAACTTGATGAGAGAGAGAGAGAGAGAGAGAAAAAAAAAAAGTTTTATTCTCCAGAAGTGATGAGCAGTTGGCGAATGAGACACGAATTAGAATCACAAGTAATGGAGACGGTTCGTACGATTATCGGCTAACGGGTCTACGAAAATACACGCAATATAGTATAGTGGTAAAGGCGTTCAATAGCAAGGGCGACGGGCCAGGATCAGATCCAATGATAGCGCAAACTCTAGAGGATGGTGAGTACAATTTCTTCCCGTAATAGAGAAACGTTTTCCTCTCTCTTCTCTCTCTCTCTCTCTCCTCCCCTTTCACGCCGCCTCCATCTCTACTTGTAAATTCCACCGTTCCTCCATTTCATTGTCCCCATCCCCCCTCTCTCAAACTTCTTTTACATCCCTTTCCATTCGATCTCGTGTGACATTTTTGCATTAAACGAAATTGCTACTCCGAGCTCACTCAGTTTCCATAACATTTATTATTTAAGATTCGAATCTCAACCTTACGGTTTTACACGGGAATTCCACGTAATCACTCATTCGAAAAATTTCCTAACAGACTTTCTCATTTAAAATTTTATCTTCTCTCTTTCTCTCTATTGTATAGATATGGAAAATTGCTTTATCCTTTGCTGAAACCATTTTTCATTTAATTTTTTTTTACAATTTTTTTTTAAAAAATTGCAAATTAGATAAAATAATAATATTAATTACATTTTTTTTTTTAAATAACACCGTCCGACACAAAAAAATGATATATTTTCGGAAACCAGGATCTAAAAAATAAAAAATACCCGTATCTGGCCGTTTTGCTAGATCAAGTCGTTTGTGGTTTTTAGGGGTGAAAACAACCCCTAAATGAAAAGTAAGAAGATATCTTTTAAAAATTATTAATATTTTACAAAACTTTGGTATCTGGGGGTTTTCGGGGTGGCTAATTATTAATCTGATGTAAGATTTTCAAAATTCAAAATGGCGGATCCAATATGACGGTTAAAATTTTGAGTTATTAATTTTTTTTTTAAATTTGGTATCTAGAAGTTTTTGGGGTCGCTGATGTCGAATCAGATGTTATATTTTCAAAATTCAAAATGGCGGATATAAAATAAAACAAGTTGTAAATTCAGATGTTCATTACATGAACATTTTGCTTCATCTTTACGATCAGCAAAAAAATTTGCTTCCTCGTGGAGAAAGCATTAATATTGAAATAAACATACAAAAATAATATAATAATATAAACATTTGAGTACCTATAAATTTGAGTTAAATTTAAAGAATTAATGGAAGTTATTTAATTGGTTATTTAATTGGTAGGATTTTTTTTAAAGGTAATATGTTTTGTTTGAAGGTAAAAAAATAATAGAGACATGATGCTTAATTTTATTTGACTATGTAAGGAATTTTTTTATTTTCCAGGAAAACATTCTATCCACAGTACAAGTAGTAGTACAAGTAAATATTTAGTTGGACGGGTTTGCAATTTTGTTAGTAAAACAAGTAAATATTTAGTTGGACGGGTTTGCAATTTTGTTAGTAAAACAAGTAAATATTTAGTCAGACATTCTAAATGTTTGAAATTTTCTCAGTAGTATCACTCAGTAGTATTACTCAGCAGTAGTACAAGTAAATATTTCGTTAGACACGTTAACAATATTTTCAGTAGTACAAATAAATATTTAGTTGAACGGGTTTGTAATTTTGTTAGTAATACAAGTAAATATTTAGTCAGACATTCTTGATTTGTCCTTCAAACGACCTTGAATGACCTTGACTTAACCTTCAAATGACCTTGAATGACCTTGACTTGACCTTCAAATGACCTTGAATGACCTTGACTTGACCTTGACCTTGAGTCATACTTTTAAAGCACTTCTAAATTTTTTCAGTGGTTCAAATAAATATTTAGCCAGACATTCTAAATGTTTGAAATTTTCTCAGTAGTATTACTCAGCAGTAGTACAAGTAAATATTTCGTTAGACACGTTCTTTCGAAAAAAATCGATTAAAATAGATTATTCTTATTCTCTTACAATTTGGGTTCAATTTGTAGGTTTTTTTTAAGATAATTTGTGTTGTTTGAAGTTAAAAAAATAATAGAGACATGCTGTTTAATTTTATTTGACTTTGTAAGGGATTTTTTCATTTTCCAGGAGAACATTCTTTCTAAACAAGGAACACAATTATTTTATATTTAAACTTGAATTTAAATAAATACAAAATTTTTCAGCTAAAATGTGTATTTTCTATTTTTTAACTTTCAATAATTTATTAAATTTACCACAAATGTAAATTTTTTATATACCAATCGATTTGTTTTCATATAAGGAATACAATTATTTCATCTATAAACTTAAATTTAAATAATCACAAAATTTTATAGCCAAAATGTGAAATTTTGATTATTTAACTTTCATTAATTCTTTAAATTTAAATTAAAACTATACTGTATATATACCGATCGATTTGTCTTGACGTAAAGAATACTATTTTATTATATATAACCTTAAATTTTTCTATTTAAAAATTTTTTCGATTAAAAAAAAATTTTTGGAAAAAAGACGCTAAAATTTTTTTTTGGGTATTTTTTAAAATCCTTTGGTCAAATTTGAGATATTAATATGATAAATGAGCCTACCAAATTTTATCTAAATCCATTAAAACCTGTTAAAGTTATCTTCTAAACAAAAAGGGATCCATACACACATACATACATCCGGACAATTGATCAGGATCTCATATAACATGTTTCTATATAGAGAAAAATTTGTTTCCGACACTTTGAAAATTTTTATCAACGAAAGGACTACAAAGCTTCCTCCTCAAGGAAGCAAAATTAATAACTTCTTAAAATTTTGACCGCCATATTGGATCCGCCATTTTGAAAATTTGACATCAAACTGTAAAAAGAAGGTACCGACTTTAGGTATTAAAATAGAACCAAAATGCAATTTAGTACCTAAAGTTGGTATTAATTTAATATATCTCGTTTTACACTGCAGATTAATAATCAGCGACCCCGAAAACCCTCAGATACGAAGTTTTATGAAAAATTACTAATTTTTAAAAGATATCTTCTTACTTTTCATTTAGGAGTTTGTTTCACCCCTAAAAACCACAAACGACTTGATCTAGTAAAACGGCCAGACACGGGTATTTTTTTTTTTTGATCCTAGTTTCCGAAAATGTTGTATTTTTTTGTGAGTCAAAAAAAGTTGAAATTTGTCGCACGGTGTAATATATAAAAAAAATGTAAATGTTTAGTTTCAAAAAATATTTTTCTATTTTTTTTTTTATAAAATAGTTAAAAATGGGTAAAATAAACTTTTATAATATGAAAAGCAGCAAAAAAAGAGTTAAAAGTTCGATCGTGTAATTAATCCACTTTAAAAGAAGACGAGAGCTGTTTTTTTTTTGATAAAATGAGATTTTTATTTAAAAAAAAAAATTGTTCCCGTATAAAGAGAATTCATTTACGGTGGTAATATTTTTCTATTTCGTTTCAAGTAGAAGTTTCGGTTGAATATAAACTAGATGAAAGCTTCTAAATGAGCATGGTTTCAAACCCAAATACAACTTTTCTTTAACAGAATTAACTTAAACTCATGCTACCTTTTTTTCTTTTATATATATATGAAGTTTGAAATCAAGCAATAATTATTATTTTAGAGAGAGAGAGAGAGAAAGAAAGAAACAATTAGTAGACCATTTTCTTTAATATTTTATTTATTTTTTTTACCTTAATAAAAAAACAACTGTTTTCTAATAAATTAAAAAAAACTAACATTAATAAAATAGGTATAAATAAACTAATGTGGTGGGAAAAAAAGGAAAAAGCATTATGAAAAAATAATTTCTTCACTAACTTTTTTAAACGTGAAAATTACCTTGGAAACACTTTTTATAAATTATTAAGTACACTTAAAAAGTACGTTTAGAGTGGAAGATTAAGAATTTCAAACAAATCTTCTTTTTTGGTATTTTAAACTAAAATTACTCTCTAAAGCGAGTACAGTCATATCAGCTTTACAGCACATCAATCAACTAGCTCTCTGCTAGTGCGTTTTCTCTTCATCTTTAGTACTTTTTCAAAAAAAAAAAAAAAGAAAAGAAAAAAAAACTGAAAAGAAAAAATGAAGTGTAGACCTGCAACTGTTCACTTGGCTTATGTTAAGTCTTTCTAACAAATGTTGAAATCCTCCTTTAAAGTCCAGAAGTTTCTCAAGCGCGCTCAAGAGAGTATCATCGAGAATTCTGCGAAAGTGAAATATTTCGCGAGCACTATATATAAGAAGATTTCGGGCAATATAACTTTCGTGTGTGTGTATATATATATATAAATGATGTATTCCACGCTAAATAATCAGACACCATTTTCAAATTTGAATCTACAATTTTTTTCAAAATTTTTTGTAAAAAAAAACTATTTTAAATTTAACAAATTTTTAGGCAAACGATTTTCTTCAATATTTTAGGAATTTTTCAAAAATAAAAAAAAAACATATATAAAATTTTTTTTCTATAAATACCGAAAAAGAATAAAAATTAAATTATTATTTAAACAATTTTTAAATCAATTATTTTTGGTTTTTACTAACTTTTTTACAGAATGCAACAAAGAAATTTGCAGTTTTTTTTTATTATATATTATTATTATTTTATTATATATTACAAAAATCCAACATATAAATAAAATTTTGAAAAACATTTAAGGAAAAAAGTCCTTAGCAACGGTTGCTAATAAAAAAAAACGGTCGTGGTATGGAAACGGTTGTTATGGTAACTTGTTATGGTAACTGTTATTATGATAACTGTTGTTATGGTAATTGTTGCTTTCGTAACTGATGTTATGGTAACGATTGCTATGGTAACGATTGCTACGGTAACTGTTGTTATGGTAACTCTTGTTATGGTAACGATTGCTATGGTAACGATTGCTACGGTAACTGTTGTTATGGTAACTCTTGTTATGGTAACGATTGCTATGGTAACTGATGTTATGGTAACGATTGCTATGGTAACGATTGCTACGGTAACTGTTATTATGATAACTGTTGTTATGGTAACAGTTGTCACGGACACGGTTGCTATGGTAACTGATGTTATGGTAACGATTGCTATGGTAACGATTGCTACGGTAACTGTTATTATGATAACTGTTGTTATGGTAATTGTTGTTATGGTAACAGTTGTCACGGAAATGTTTGCTATGGTAACTGATGTTATGGTAACGATTGCTATGGTAACGATTGCTATTGTAACTGTTGTTATGGTAACTGTTATTATGATAACTGTTGTTATGGTAACTGTTGTTATGGTAACAGTTGTCACGGAAACGGTTGCTATGGTAACGATTGCTACGGTAACTGTTATTATGATAACTGTTATTATGATAACTGTTGTTATGGTAATTGTTGTTATGGTAACAGTTGTCACGGAAACGGTTGCTATGGTAACTGATGTTATGGTAACGATTGCTATGGTAACGATTGCTATGGTAACGATTGCTACGGTAACTGTTGTTATGGTAACTGTTGTTATGATAACTGTTGTTATGATAACTGTTGTTATGAAAACTGTTGTTATGGTAACTGTTGTTATGGTAACGGTTCTCATGGTTTGACTCACTTTGAACTGCAACAAAAATGAGTTCAGTTTTATTCTGTATATAAATTGCGCAAAATTCTGTAATTTTGAAAAATTCATATCTCCTAAACGACTTGCTAAAAAAAATTGAAAAAAATCATGATTGTTAATTTCAATTAGTACTAAAAGAAAAAAAAGTTTCAAAAAAAATCGGAGATGCAGAATGTTGTCTGTTTTTGCGTGGAATGCATCATATACATATATATATATATATAGTTGAGTTAGTTGCTCATAGAGCTTAGAGTGAGGTTTACAGAGAGAGAGAGAGAGAGAGAGTAAAAGATGCTTAACCTGACGCAGTTCCCAGTTCACCACCACAAAATGTGGCATGTACAGCGTTGAATGGACAGAACATACAGGTCACATGGAAGCCACCACCGTCGGATAAAGTTCATGGAATGGTAGTTGGCTACAAGGTTGTATATGAAGCAACGAATGGAGTAATGGAGATAGACATGCAGGGATCACCGGAAACAAGAATCACTCAGGCCTTGAGCGCCGTCCTTCACGGTCTTAATCCTTATACCAACTACACGGTCCAAGTTTTGGCATCTACACGAGCTGGAGACGGAGTTAGTAGTATACCAGTCTCATGCACAACTGAAGAAGATGGTGAGTTGTAGATTAGAGACTTGTGTGTGTATATATGTTGTTTTCAAAGGGGGAAGTAGATGGCATGTATGCATTAATATAACTTTCCAAGGCCTTCTCTCTCTTCTCTCATACAGTAGCTTGACCCTCTCGCGTTCTTGTACAATAGTGTAAGAGAGAGAGAGAGAGAGAAACACCATTTTCAAACAAGAAGTTTCATCTCGACCCTTGTTATTATACTGTTATACATATAATAACATAATATTTGCCGAATTATATATGCGGGATTACTTTGGGGTAGTTGTGAATTTTTTTCTGTTTATTTGCATGACGAATATAGTCAATAGAGGTGAAATTTTATATTTTAATTATTTTACGTTTTATAATTATTTATTAATTATATAATTTTTAATTTTTATATAATGTTTTTTCTCATTTTATTAGTAGATTAAATTGATTTTAGTCAGACATAATGACTAAATTTGTAGTGAAAATCAGTAGTATAAATAAATGTTAAGTCAGACTATTTTAATTTTTTACAATTATATAAGTAGAACAAGCAAATATTTAGTCAGACTTTCTAAACATTGTAATTTTGTCAGTAGCAAAAGTCAATATCTATTTAGACTTATTCTAACTTTATATAATTTTAGTAGTAGTAAAAGTAAATGTTCAGCGAGATGTTTTAATTTTTTTAGTAGATGAAATCGATTTTAGTCAGACGTAATGACTAAATTAGAAAATCAGTAGTATACATAAATGTTTAGTCAGAAAATTCCATTTTTTTTATTCTTTTAGTATTGTTTAATTTTTTTCTTTATTTTATCAGTAATACGAGTAAATATTTAGTCAGACATTCTCGAAAGTTTGTTTTTTCAGTAGTACAAGTCAATATCAATTCAGACTTATTCAGAATTTATATAATTTTAATAGCAGTAAAGGTAAATGTTTAGTCAGACGTTTTAATGTTTTTGGTAATTTTTTTTAGTAAATCAAATTGATTTTAATCAGACATAATGACTAAATTAGAAAATCAGTAGTATAACTAAATGTTCAGTCAGACAATTTCATTCTTTAATTCTTTCAGCATTGTTTATTTTTTTTTATTTATTTTATCAGTAAAACAAGTAAATTTTCAGTTAGACTTTGAATTAATTAATTTTCCATTTTTTATTTTGTAATTTTATCAGTAGAACAAATTCATTTTGGTCAGACATAATTTTAAATGAAAAAATAAGTAGTAGAAGTTAATTTTTTAGTCAGGCTTTCTATTTTCTTTTGAATTGTATTTTTTATAAGTAGATAAAAGCGAGTTTAGTCAGGCATAATTATTAAATTAGAAAATAAGTAGTAAAAATAAATATTTGTTTAATAAAAAATTATATGTAATTTTATCAGTAGTATAAATAAATGTTTAGTGCCATCTATTTCAAGTTTTATAATTCTATTAGTAGTACTGGTAAATATTTAGTCAGACATTCTTCAAGCGTTTGTAATTTTTTCAGTAGTACAAGTCAGATATTCTAAATATTTTTAATTGTTTCAGTAGTACAAGTCAATATTTAAATAAGCTTCCTTACAAGAATTTATTATGCCTTGTCTGACAAAAGCTGATTTATACTACTTAGATTGAAATTTATTTATAATACTTATTGATTGAATGAAAAAAATATAAGAAATTATAGAATAATATAAAGTTTATGTCTGACTGAAATTTATTTATACTATTTTTTTGTTATTTTATTAGTAGTATAAAACGATTTTAGTAAGACGTAATCATTTAATTAGAGAATCAGTAGTATAAATAATTGTTTAGTCAGACTATTTCATTTTTTCGATTCTATCAGTAGAACAAGTAAATATTAGGAAAAATTAGAAAATTTTTAATAGATCTGTCTGACAAAAACGGACTTTCACTACTGGTCATTTTGCCTGACTGCAGCCTGATTTATACTACTAATTTACAAAAATTCAAACTTCTGTCAAAGTAAAATTTACCTGTACTATACTAATTTTAACGTTAGAAAAATATAAACGTTATGTCTGACTGAAATTTACTTGTACTACTGATTAATTGTATAAAAGCAAGCAGTATAAACCTGCAACTGTCTGTCAATTGTTACACTATTATTTAAATTAATTTTTTAATTTACACTATTAATTTAAAAATTTTGCATCATTTTTGTCTGATCACAGCTTATTTACACTACTGATAATAATTATAAATTAATATATTATAATTGCGAAAAAATTATTCTTTTTTTTTCTCTTAAATATTATAATTATTATAAGAAAGAAAATATGTTTTTTTTGGCAAATGCATAAAGTTCATTGTAAATTATAAATTCGTGGAAAATGAGCTTACAAGGCTGTGTTGACGTAACCTACAAAATAGATGGAGTTTGTAAAGTGAAACATTTAATGTTTAACTTGTAACGTTATACATAAATATCGTGTTTCCAAGTTGCATGGTAGTGCATAAATGCATATACTTATTATGTAAAATTTGTATGCATTTTATCTTTTAAAATAATTTTGTCAGTTTCAAATGTTTTTGGGCAATTCAAAACAAAAATATATATGAATTATTTCTTTTTATATTTATAAATAATTATAATTTTTTTGTTTTATTTTTTATGCTTTTAATTTTTTTTTTATTATTTATATTTTTTTTATTGATTTACTGAAAAAAAGAAAAGAATGTCTAAAAATTTTTTTGCAAAATTGAAATATAATTTTAGTAAATTTCATTTGACAGAAAATTAAGAATTAATAATTTGCTTTATGGAGATGAGATGAAGTTTTTTTTTTTTGAAAACTGTTATGATCGAAGTGAATGCACTTTAATTTGTATTTTCATTTCTCTCTTAGTTCCTGGCGCGCCAGAAAGAGTAAAAGCAGTTGCTAGTGCGGAGGATTCAATGGTGATATCCTGGCTTCCTCCACGACGGCCAAACGGAGTACTCACAAAATACACCGTTTTCATTCGAGTGTTGGATCAGGGCCAAGAAGTAAAGATCATTAAAGACTCTCTACCCGCGCACAACTTACACTATGATGCAACGGGACTAAAACTACGTGAATCGTATGAGGCATGGGTTACTGCTTCAACAAAAGTGGGACAAGGACCCACCACACCGGTCGTCAAATTTAATCCAAGTGCCACAAGTTCGTATCGCACGTTCTCTATTAATTTTCTCCAATTTTCCTCTATTATATAACCATTCTGATATCCTCACAAGCTAATTAAAATCAATAATTACTTTCATTTTATTTTAATCATCATCTTCAACAGTATTACATAGACAAAAAAAAAATTAAATCTCAAAATTGAAAAGAATATTCCATTCAAAAATTAATACATTTTTTTTCAAATTTTCGAAATATTCATTTTTTAAAAAAGCTGATTTTTTTAATTTGAGAAAATTCTTCTTTTGGATTTTTTTCTCTAAAATCAAAATTATTTTTTTCTAAATAAAACAATATTGTTTGATAAAAAAGAGAATTTTTAACTTAACTTTTTTTACACGAAAATTTTAATATAATAAAAATAAATAAATAAATAAATATTATTTTAATAATTAATAATATAATATTATTATTACTATTATTATTATATATATAATATAATACTAATAGTTAATAATAATATAATTTACTATTTGTGGATTAATTATTATGAGTATTAATTAATTATTTTTAATTAGTTAATTTAAGCAATTATCACTCTGAATATTTAATTAGAATTTTGATTATTTAATTAAATTTGAGATAATTCGTGGTAAATTTTGCACTTATTTTTGAGAAGTTATGTGTAATATATATATATAGAGAGAGATTTATTAATTAGTTTCAGCGGCAATTATCTCCTTTGGGGTTCCTGTGATAGTACCATGGAGGGTTGACGTGAACTTAGCCTGTCATTCAGTGGGAAATCCAAAGCCAATTGTTGAATGGCGAATGGGTGATTTGAAATTGCAGAAACAACAACAAAGGTTAATTTTTTTATATTCATTATACATTATTTCTTATCTATTTTATGTAATTTTTTTTTTTTAATTTATAACTCGTGAAATATATTCAAATTTTTCATAGAATTAAATTAAATTATTATATTTCTAAAATATAAATAGAAACTTAATTTCTTTTTTTAATTTTGCCTCTTGAATTTTGTAATATAATACAGTAATTTACAGTATCAATAACCCCCATTAAATGCTTTCTATTGGTTATTAAAACATTCCAGACTCGATGTTGGATCAGATAACACTTTACTACTACAAAACGTTCAAAGGACTCAAGAAGGAAACTATTCTTGCCATGCGAGGAATTCACTGGGATCTGATGAAATCGTTTACAGTTTACACGTTCAAGGTATCTATATAAAAAAATAAATTACCTTTTTTTTTTTAATTTTTCAATGAAATATTTTAATTTTATTTATTATATTCACTTCAACTGGAAATTGATTGATCATTTTAAAAATCAAACTATATTTTTCATTTTTACTTTAATTTTACAATGTTTTTTTTTTAATTCTAATAATTTAATTTATATATGTGTTTAATTTGATACCGAATAACGTTTAATTAATTAAATGATCAATGTAAATTATTATTTTCAATAATAATAATAATAATAATAATAATAATAATAATAATAATAATAATAATAATAATAATAATAATAATAATAATAATAATAATAATAATAATTGGTTTATACGCATTTGAAATTAAAGTGAAATAATTTTCATTTTCGATATCAATATATATATAAAATTTGTTAAATTTAAAGTTACTCATGAGAATATTACACATCTCGTGATAATTAAATATGATTGATTTCATCATGTTTCAAGCATTCTATCATTTTATTAAAAATTTTGTCCAATTAAACAAAATTTTATTATTTTATAATTTTCATATTTACAACAATAAAAAAGATTAACGGAAAAAAATTTTCTCAACAGCCATATGTTTCTCTAGAATAGCGAAAAATTTCACTGTTTTGATGAAACATATCGCTGTTTCAGGTATAAAAAGATTTTTTTCACTGTTCTACAAAATTCATGAATTAAAACCGTTTTGTTTGATTGAAATCTGATTTAATAATTATGGAAAAAATTATTTTTTTTTACTTATTCCTAAATAGCAATGTAAAATTTTTTTTTTATTAATATTTTTAAAAAATTCATATAAAAATTTAAAAATTAAGCTTGAATTTGTGGTGTGATTTTTTTTTGTGATCTACTGAGCCATTAACTTTTGTGACCCCCTGTCGCAGGTGAACAATCCTTTAAAGCATCCGCCCATATAGAAAAATTTAAAAAAAAATTCAATTTTCCTTAGGCAGACTATTTTAATGCAATTTCTTGCACAACATACACCTAAAAGTGTAGAAAAAAATTGACAGCCCGATCCGAGTAGAGGAGGACCCTTTTTATGACCAAAAACACATCCAAAATCATAAAATAGTTGCCAAAAAAATTCAATTTTTCTTAGGCAGAAGATTTTATTGCATATTCTTGCACAAAATACACCTTAAAGTGTAGAAAAAAATTGACCCCCAGATCCGAGTAGAGGAAGACCCTTTTTATGACCAAAAACGCATCCAAAATCATAAAAAAGTTGCCAAAAAAATTCAATTTTTCTTAGGCAGAAAATTTTATTGCATATTCTTGCACAAAATACACCGAAAAGTGTAGAAAAAAATTGACACCCAGATCCGAGTAGAGGAAGACCCTTTTTATGACCAAAAACACATCCAAAATCAAAAAAAGTTGCCAAAAAAATTCAATTTTTCTTAGGCAGAAGATTTTATTGCATATTCTTGCACAAAATACACCAAAAAGTGTAGAAAAAAATTGACGGCCCGATCCGAGTAGAGGAAGACTTTTTTTATGACCAAAAACACATCCAAAATCATAAAAAACTTTCCAAAAAAATTCAATTTTTCTTAGGCAGAAGATTTTATTGCATATTCTTGCACAAAATACACAGAGAAGTGTAGAAAAAAATTGACACCTAGATCCGAGTAGAGGAAGACCCTTTTTATGACCAAAAACGCATGAAAAACCAAAAAAAATTACCAAAAAAATTCAATTTTTCTTAGGCAGAAGATTTTATTGCATATTCTTGCACAAAATACACCGAAAAGTGTAGAAAAAAATTGAAACCCAGATCCGAGTAGAGGAAGACCCTTTTTATGACCAAAAAAACTTCCAAAATCATAAAAAACTTTCCAAAAAAATTTAATTTTTCTTAGGCAGAAGATTTTATTGCACATTATTGCACAAAATACACCGAAAAGTGTAAAAAAAAATTGACACCCAGATCCGAGTAGAGGAAGACCCTTTTTATGACCAAAAACGCATCCAAAAGCATAAAAAACTAACCAAAAAAATTCAATTTTTCTTAGGCAGAAGATTTTATTGCATATTCTTGCACAAAATACACCGAAAAGTGTAGAAAAAAATTGACACCCAGATCCGAGCAGAGGAAGACCCTTTTTATGACCAAAAACGCATCCAAAAGCATAAAAAACTAACCAAAAAAATTGAATTTTTCTTAGGCAGACGATTTTATTGCTAATTCTTGCACAAAATACTCCGAAAAGTGTAGAAAAAAATAGACTCCTAGATCCGAGTAGAGGAAGACCATTTTTATGACCAAAAACGCATCCAAAAGCTTAAAAAACTAACCAAAAAAATTCAATTTTTCTTAGGCAGAAGATTTTATTGCATATTCTTCCACAAAATACACCGAAAAGTGTAGAATAAAATTGACACCCAGATCCGAGTAGAGGAAGACCCTTTTTATGACCAAAAACACATCCAAAATCATAAAATAGTTGCCAAAAAAATTCAATTTTTCTTAGGCAGAAGATTTTATTGCATATTCTTGCACAAAATACACCGAAAAGTGTGGAAAAAAATTGACACCCAGATCCGAGTAGAGGAAGACCATTTTTATGACCAAAAACACATCCAAAAGCAGAAAAAACTTTCCAAAAAAATTGAATTTTTCTTAGGCAGAAGATTTTATTGCATATTCTTGCACAAAATACACAGAGAAGTGTAGAAAAAAATTGACACCTAGATTCGAGTAGAGGAAGACCCTTTTTATGACCAAAAACACATCCAAAATCATAAAAAAGTTGCCAAAAAAATTCAATTTTTCTTAGGCAGAAAATTTTATTGCATATTCTTGCACAAAATACACCAAAAAGTGTAGAAAAAAACTGACGGCCCGATCCGAGTAGAGGAAGACCATTTTTATGACCAAAAACGCATGAAAAACCAAAAAAAATTACCAAAAAAATTCAATTTTTCTTAGGCAGAAGATTTTATTGCATATTCTTGCACAAAATACACCAAAAAGTGTAGAAAAAAATTGACACCCAGATCCGAGTAGAGGAAGACCCTTTTTATGACCAAAAACTCATCCAAAATCAAAAAAAGTTGCCAAAAAAATTCAATTTTTCTTAGGCAGAAGATTTTATTGCATATTCTTGCACAAAATACACCGAAAAGTGTAGAAAAAAATTGACACCCAGATCCGAGCAGAGGAAGACCCTTTTTATGACCAAAAACGCATCCAAAAGCATAAATAACTAACCAAAAAAATTGAATTTTTCTTAGGCAGAAGATTTTATTGCATATTCTTGCACAAAATACACCGAAAAGTGTGGAAAAAAATTGACACCCAGATCCGAGTAGAGGAAGACCCTTTTTATGACCAAAAACGCATCCAAAATCATAAAAAAGTTGCCAAAAAAATTCAATTTTTCTTAGGCAGACGATTTTATTGCTAATTCTTGCACAAAATACTCCGAAAAGTGTAGAAAAAAATTGACTCCTAGATCCGAGTAGAGGAAGACCATTTTTATGACCAAAAACGCATCCAAAATCATAAAAAAGTTGCCAAAAAAATTCAATTTTTCTTAGGCAGACGATTTTATTGCTAATTCTTGCACAAAATACTCCGAAAAGTGTAGAAAAAAATTGACACCCAGATCCGAGTAGAGGAAGACCCTTTTTATGACCAAAAACACATCTAAAATCATAAAAAAGTTGCCAAAAAAATTCAATTTTTCTTAGGCAGAAGATTTTATTGCATATTCTTGCACAAAATACACCAAAAAGTGTAGAAAAAAATTGACGGCCCGATCCGAGTAGAGGAAGACCATTTTTATGACCAAAAACGCATGAAAAACCAAAAAAAATTACCAAAAAAATTCAATTTTTCTTAGGCAGAAGATTTTATTGCATATTCTTGCACAAAATACACCGAAAAGTGTAGAAAAAATTGACACCCAGATCCGAGTAGAGGAAGACCCTTTTTATGACCAAAAACACATACAAAATCAAAAAAAGTTGCCAAAAAAATTCAATTTTTCTTAGGCAGAAGATTTTATTGCATATTCTTGCACAAAATACACCGAAAAGTGTAGAAAAAAATTGACACCCAGATCCGAGCAGAGGAAGACCCTTTTTATGACCAAAAACGCATCCAAAAGCATAAAAAACTAACCAAAAAAATTGAATTTTTCTTAGGCAGACGATTTTATTGCTAATTCTTGCACAAAATACTCCGAAAAGTGTAGAAAAAAATAGACTCCTAGATCCGAGTAGAGGAAGACCATTTTTATGATCAAAAACGCATCCAAAAGCTTAAAAAACTAACCAAAAAAATTCAATTTTTCTTAGGCAGAAGATTTTATTGCATATTCTTCCACAAAATACACCGAAAAGTGTGGAAAAAAATTGACACCCAGATCCGAGTAGAGGAAGACCCTTTTTATGACCAAAAACGCATCCAAAAGCATAAAAAACTAACCAAAAAAATTGAATTTTTCTTAGGCAGACGATTTTATTGCTAATTCTTGCACAAAATACTCCGAAAAGTGTAGAAAAAAATTGATTCCTAGATCCGAGTAGAGGAAGACCATTTTTATGACCAAAAACGCATCCAAAAGCATAAAAAACTAACCAAAAAAATTCAATTTTTCTTAGGCAGAAGATTTTATTGCATATTCTTGCACAAAATACACCGAAAAGTGTGGAAAAAAATTGACACCCAGATCCGAGTAGAGGAAGACCCTTTTTATGACCAAAAACGCATCCAAAATCAAAAAAAGTTGCCAAAAAAATTCAATTTTTCTTAGGCAGAAGATTTTATTGCATATTCTTGCACAAAATACACCGAAAAGTGTAGAAAAAAATTGACACCCAGATCCGAGCAGAGGAAGACCCTTTTTATGACCAAAAACGCATCCAAAAGCATAAAAAACTAACCAAAAAAATTGAATTTTTCTTAGGCAGACGATTTTATTGCTAATTCTTGCACAAAATACTCCGAAAAGTGTAGAAA